AATGAAACGACTCAATTTAAAAAATGAGGAAAAGATTTGAAGGCATATACTACAAAAGGAGTTCTAAAAGTAGCAATAAACCCATGCAAAGATGGTCAAAGCATTAATTATCTGGGAAATGCAAACTATACCCCCATGAGATACCACTACATGCCCACTAGAATGCCTGGAATTAGAAAGACTGGTAATGCTTAATGTTGGCAAGGATGGGGAACACCCAGAACTCCCACACTGTGCTGATGGAACTGATAATCACACCACATTAGAAAATTGGCAGTTTTGGTGCTGGTTCGAGTCCTGAGTACTCCACTTCTGATCCAGCTCCCTGCTAATGCACCTGGGAAAGCAGTAGAAGATGGCCCAACTCCTTGGGCCCCTGCACCCACATGGGAGACCTAAAAGAAGCTTCTGGTTCCTGGATTCAGTCTGGCCTAGCCCCTGACCATTGCAGCCATTTGGGGAGTGAACCAGCAGATTGAAGATTCCCCCTCTCTTTGTCTCTGTTTCTGTCTCTCTGTAATTGCACCTTTTAAATAAATAAAATCCATCTTAAAACTCTAAATGGACATAGTTAGTAGTATATAAATTACATATCAATAAAAATAAATTTTTTAAAAAGATTTATTTACCTATTTGAAAGTCAGAGTTACAGAAAGAGAGAGAGGAAGAGACACAGAGAGATCTTCCATCCCCTGGCTCACTCCCTAAATGGCTGCAATGGCTGGGGCTGGGCCAGGAACTTCTTCCAGGTCTCCCAAGTAGATGCAGGGGTCCAAGCAATTGGGCCATCTTCTGCTGCTTTCCCAGGCACATTAGCTGGGAGCTGGATAAGAAGTGGAACAGCCAGTGCATGACCCAGTGCCCTTATGGAATGCAGACATTGCATGTGGCATCTTAAGTCACTATGCCACAACACCGTCCCCTTAAGAATTATTTTCTTCCTGTATTCCTTGCTGAGTGAGATCTACTCAATCCTGATTACTCCTTTGTCTTTTATCTTGCCTTCTACTTAATAATGTGTTACTTTTTATCTTTTCTTTTACTTAATAATGGCTTAGGGCCACAATGGCAATTGCTCTGCATATTGTGAGCACCTGTGTGTGTGTGTGTGTGTGTGTGTGTGTGTGACAGACAGAGAGGCAGAGAGAAACAGAGTGAGACAGAGGGAAACAGAGAGGGAGAGATTGTGAACCAAAGAAGAAGCAAAATGGTAGCAGACTCTGTGTAAAGAGAAATTCTTGGAAGTATGGGATCCAGAATACAGACGGGGCTTGGAGAGGAGAGAAAGGATAGGGCAGTGGAAAATTTGAGGTGGACCTCAAGTGTCCTGCCAGCATACAATGGTGCCTTCTGAGACTGTCTGGATGGGGCTGATGGGTGAGCACTACAGAAACCAATCAGGGATGCGTAAAGGCTTCAAGGGAAAGGAGAGGATCTGGGCTGGGCAGGAAGCCTCAGAGCACAGGAAGCCTCTGCCTGCTCACAGTGGCCTTTCAGGGTCGCCCTCTGCTGCGATGGGTACGAGGCATGGCACTGCCGTAGACCATGGGTTCTCGTCTCTACCTTAGTTCCACTTCCAACTCACAGGTACCTGGTAAAGTCCTAGAATTCCAGTGTGCAGAGACTGGGGACCAGAAACCTTTATGCCCGACGATGGCTGGGTCTTTGTGGTTTTGTTAAGCTCTCTCCAGCTGAGAGAGGGCGATGCTCCTCATGCAGATCCATCTCCATCAAGCACCTCATGCTTTCTTTGCTAAAAGCATGGCACTGTTTTTTTCATATAATGTGCCCATTAAGGACCCTTTGCTTTTCACTGGAAGAAAATATAGTCCTGGTCAAGAGAATCCCAAGTGCCTACTAAGTGGAATGTAGGACTAGAAGCATCGCTGAGAAGATCCATGCCAAACACACTTTATCACAGTGAATTTGGTCTGTATCATCGGTCTTAGAAAATTGTACAGCAGCAGAGCTGACTTTCTTCCAAAAGCAGACTGTTAGAATTCATGACATGACAATACCACCATTAATCTGACCTCATCTTCACCAGACAGTCAAGAGGAACAAATTCACAGATTCCCATAACTACTATAAAATTATACATCAATTCAACATTTAGGGGTCAGATATCAATCCTGAAATACATTGTTAAAAATAACATCCAGATAAAATGAACACTTGGATCCCTTGGCCCCTATAAAAAGGGTAATTAACACACATAATAAATGGAATGAATTTCTGACATTTTTAGTTTAATTTCAAAAGATTTATTTATTTACTTGAAAGGCAGAGTTACAGAGAGAGAGGAAGTGATAGAGAGAAAGAGAGAGAGAGAGAGAGATCTTCCATCCACTGGTTCACTCCCCAAATGGCAATAATGTCCCGGGCTGGGCCAGGACAAAGCAAGGAGCCAGGAGCTTTATCTGGGTCTCCAATGCGGGTGCAGGTGCTCAAGCACTTGGGCCATCCTTTGCTGCTTTCCCAGGTGCATTAGCAGGGAAGTGGAGCAGCCAGGACATCCATATGGGATGCTGGTGTCATAGGCTGCGACTTAACACTGGCCACCATTTTTGATATTTTAATTTGGGGTTTCAGAATTTAAACTTAGGCTGCTGATACTGATCACTACTGCATCATTATTGAAACAAGAAAGAATCCCCTTCCACCTTACCCTTACTTCTATTTTTTAAAACTTGCTAGAAAATTTACATGCAATGTTACTGAAAGACACTTTCCAAATACTTGTAATTGATCTCAATGCAATCACTTGTGCACTGATTAACTTTAATGGCCAAGGTAACAAAAAAGAGCACTTTCACTACTATTTGATGTTTTGTTTTTGATCATGGTTGTAGTAGAATCTAAAAAACTTGGCTTCAGGAGAGAATAATTAGCCAGCTAATTAATTAAGATCTATTTATGCTTTTATTTTCAAGGCATTTGTTGGTCTTAACTGAAGTGTTCTATTTTCTTTTAAGATTTGATAGCCCAGAAAGGGGTAGTAAGGCAAGAAATATACTTCAAAAAGTCCATGGTAAATGCAATGAAAAGGTTGGTTTATTTGGAAACAAAAATTTTTGAAATTCATACCTAGTTTTTTCAGAACATTCATTCCCTAAAAACTTCTTTTCACTCTAAAAAAGAGACACAGAAGTCTAACATGCTAGGAGTTACTAGAGGGAGAGAAGCAACCTGAGGTCCCCTTCAGGTATAGGATCCAGGGTACACCTGAAAGAATTAAGCTTGGGGAACTCTGTTTTGAGGGTTATACATTTAATCATTGCACTTCTATTATTATCATCCCTATTTTCAGATGAAAAGACTGAGGCACAGTGAGAATAAGTGATAGGTGCAAGTTAACAGAGAAGGTGGGGGAACAAGGATTTTCATTTAGACAATATAAGCCAAAAGTCTTGCAGGTGTATCATGATTAGATAATATGCAGTATCAAAAGTTGTTAGCATGGTGTTCTTCATATAATAGGTGCTCGAAAATGTTAGACAGTATTAATAGATACAGTCCTTTGGTCCCTATAGATTTTATAGTCAATAACAAGTGATAATATCATAAGTAAGATATTAACAAATGGGCTCTTTGTTCTTCTCTGCTATAGTGAGTGTGGTTGACACAGGACCCTTATCTGCAAACCAAAGTTACACAGGTGTATGTGGTGCTGAGGTGAGGAAGCCGAGGAGCCTCTTCCAAACAAGCACATGGGAATAAGGTCTCAGTTCTTTGGTTCACCTTCATAGTTTAAAACAACCAGTTAAATCACAAACTTTGGAGTGGAAGCGGGGAGATTCAAACTTGTTCGACAACAGATAGAAAAATAACGAATCACTGGGCTGAGCGCTTCCAATCAATGATTGCAAAATTAAACAGGAATTCTAACCTGTTATTTAATTTCTATATACCTAGTTGTTTCCTTAAGGGAGTTTAAGGATAAATGCTAAGGTTGGGTCTGTCAGTTTTCCTGTTTTCTGGGGGAAGGAGGGGAGGGGGTGAGGGGTAGGGCAGAAGGCTGGAGGGTTCCTTGTGGGGTTTCTTAAAGAGTGGGAGCTGGGCAGGGGTGTTTCAGGGCCTTGAATGTGCTGATGTACCTAGTGTGGCTGAGCAGAGGGAGATGAGATACACATCTTACTTTATACTGTTTTCTACTTTTTGCAAGATGCATCTTGCTAGACTAGTTTTGAAGAACTATGCTTAGTAGACATTTGCTTAAGGAACTCTTGTAAGTTTATACACTTTCTCTGTTCACATAAACTGAGAATTATTTTTTTACCCATTTTCTTATAGACCGTCATTACATAAAGAAGGCCTGTCATTTTCAAGTGTGTTTCTTTATATCTTATTTTTTTTTCCTTTTCACATTTCTGTCGCTTACACCTAACTTTTGGAAGATGATATCAGGGCTTACATGGTTAATAAAAGCAAACTAAACCAAATAATCACCTTCTAGTACTTCTTTCAGCATATTCTAATTTTTTAATGGAGAAAATGCATTCTTAAATTAAATATGCATAATAAGGAATACTAATAATAAGAATAAAGTGGAATATGTGAGAATGAATCTAGTGCTGTAAGCAAAATGCATTTGATTTGCTAAGGATAAAAGCTGGCTTGAATCAGTAAGAATCAGTACAATAAAGAAAACCCTCATAATGTTCATAAATTGTCCATAATTGTATGGATTTTAAATATAAAACTTGGCAGTGGCAAAAGCTAAAAGCCATTAGGAGAGATACTATTGTGCAATACATCAGAAGCAGCAAGTCACAATCTTATGAAAAAAAAAAAAAAAAACCCTAGCTAGAGTTTTCTAAAATTTTGATAACCATACTTGAGACTTGTCTTGATGTTTACTACAATGTGTGCATTGTTCAACAAGGCATGGCCTAATGCATATATGAATTGTATTTGAAAAGAGCTACTAATTAACATGAATACCCTTCTTCCCTGAAGGTCGTGTATTGCAAAGTTCTTTTTTTCTTTTTCTTTTCCAGCTGAATATCGCTAAAGGAATCCTCCACAACAACCATTAGATTAAGAGACTAGTCTGTTTTCTCTCTGACATTGAGTCACAGTTTTAAAGAGTCTTTCTTGTGCCAAGAAGTCATACCAAAAAATCCCACAATATTTAAAGGCAAGGTAGAGAGCAGAGAAAATAATCTTCCTCATTGTTCAGTGCACCTGGCCTCAATCCATTCATTAAGCTTTATTCAGTCATCATCTTCTTCTTATAATATTTAAAACCTATTTTCCTAAAATTTTTAAACTTTATCTCTTAAGTGAGATTGGTCAGGAGTTTTTTTCTTTGGACACTATTTCAGCCAATATTTTCCAGAATCCTTGGGGGGTTGTCCCTGAAGAGTTTTCCAGATAGACTGTAAAAGCACTTAGGGTCTTTGTTCTACTATTCTGCCCTGAGGGAAACTCTAGAACCTTCTGTTGTTTCAGATTGGGATCCAGTAGGTTTTTTGGCATAGATGTTTCAAGAAACATAGCTAGAATATAGGGAGTCACAAGGTTTAATATTGCTGTATACCAAAAATAACTCTTAGCTAAATCCCTTCAGTTGGAGTTTTGTCTCTGTATTGGTTGATTTTGTATGTCAGATTGGCTAAGCTATAGGGTCCACCTATATGATCAGATACCAGTGTAGACATTAATGTGAACGTATTCTTAAGATATGATTAACACTTACATAGGAAGACTTTAACAAAGCCCCAATAATCTGTGTGAGCTTCATCCAGTAAGTTGAAAGTCTTAAGAGCAAGGACTGAAGTTTTCCCAAGAAAAAGCATTTCTGCCTGGAGACTGCACCTGGAATCCTAGACTAAATTTCCGGACTGCCGACATCAGACTCAAGACAGGCAAACAGCTCTTCCCTGGATTCCTTGCCTGCTGCTGTCCTCTCTAGATAAGTCCTTAAAATCAACCCATCAATCAAAAAACTCCATTCCTACTGAATCTGTTCATCTGGAGAAATCTGACTAACCTTATACACTATTTAAATAAAAGTAATAGCAAAACATGCTCTTTTAACCACTTGGCTTCTAGAATAAACCTGGGTTTTGAGCCAAGTTTGAATAATGCAATGAAGTGATTAAAGAACTAAAGTGATTAAATAACTTTGTTATTTTGCCTACTTGGTTCCAGATAACCTATTTGATAAATACATGCAGGGGTACTTCAAAAAGTTCATGGCTATCATTAGGCCAAGTGAAATAAGCCAGACTCAGAAAGACAAATGTCACATATTTTCTTTCATGTGTGGAAGTTACTATAGAGAGCATAAAAATTGTGTGGATGTCATATCATTTGGAACATAATTATAGATATTACTTCACTGAATTATACACATACATGACAATACACACTTCTTTCCCACATTATGATCTTGTCATGGATCCTTCATTTTGAGATATTAATTTTGCAATCAATCTCCTAATTAATTTTCAAGAAAAAATAGTATATATGTGTACACATATAATGTTCAGATATGAGATGAATGTGACAAAATTGTTAAAAAGTTAAGGGAAATGGAATTAAAAGGTAAGTGTATTTCAGCACCAAAAAATTTGAAATCCACAGATTTTTCATATCATGCATTTTTCATGACCCCTCATGTGCTTGCATTTCAAAAAACTTTCCCCACCAAAGTCAACCTCTTTTAATTCCATTTTCACAGACGTTATGAAGTATGTTCATACATTATTTTTGCTGGTCAATCTGGTTAGAAAAATTCCCTGAGAATTTGTCAAGTGTGTAGACTTTTTCCATGTCTGAAACTATGGATGGTTGCGTGGCTATTATTGGAATTGACTGAGTTACTCCAGTTAGGATTTGCTTTTGGATATATCAGACAGAAGTTCTCATGCTTACTTTGAAATTTTATCTGTTTCTATTAATTTTCTACTATGTAAGTATTTTATTTATTTAATTCACAGGCTTTTATTGGGGTTCCACTCCCGGGCGAGGTTCCCCGGTCCCAACAGAGCAACAGAGCGGGGGCCCGGGGAAGTCGCGCGTCAGAGATTGGGAGAGCTCCTTTTATAGATTCAGGGCATTGGCGTTAACGGTTGAGGCGGGTCTGATCCTCTTGGTTGACCTTTAGGCACCCGCAGGGACCTTGGCAAGGACTTTCTTCCCCGGAAGTAGGCCTCTCCATTCCCGGAAGTGTAGGCCTTCCCTCCTTGTGGATCCCAAAGCTACCATCCTGACCTTTTGGTGATAGGAAAGGGGGCAACGATGAGTCTCTCTGGCTACTTCCTGCTGACTGGGGATGTCGTCTCTATGTAAGTATTTTAAAATGAAATGAAAGGCATCTAACTTACTCCTCATGTAGGATCTCTGTATTTAATGTGCTGTACATTGTGATTTAATGCTATACCTAGTACTCAAACAGTATTTTACACTTTGTGTTTCTGTGTGGGTGCAAACTATTGAAATCTTTACTTAATATACACTAAATTGATCTTCTGTATATAAAGATAATTGAAAATGAATCTTGATGTGATTGGAAGGGGAGAGGGAGCAGAGAGGGGAGGGTTGCGGGTGGGAGGGAGGTTATGGGTTGGAAAAAGACATTGTAATCCATAAGCTGTACTTTGGAAATTTATATTTACTAAATAAAAGATAAAAAAAAGAAATGAAAGGCATCTAATGGCCTCTTCAACGTGACCCTCCCCACCACCATAGCTCACACTGCCAGTTTGCAGTGAAAAGGACACAGATGTTGGAGGGGGGCTTTAAACATCACCTCTCCAGTCTTCTGGATACATCCATTAATGGAGTCAACCTACAGGATCAATATAGTTAGTGATAGTTCATCATGGACAAGGCACTCTGTTCTGTACTCATTCATTATGGGATGTCTCCTTGGAGAATGTAGTATTGTAGGGGGCATTGTCTATAATGTGAAGCAGAATGTGATTCATTCTTAAAAAAGAAAAGCAAATAACCCAGCTAACCAAACAAAAACACCTGAGTCTGTGTAACTGTAAGTGATGAAGCTGTCCCTTCCAGCCCAGTGGTCTGCTGAGGACAGAGTCCTCCAGAGGATAGAATGTGGCATATAAGGGAAGTAGGATGTTGGTCAGTGATGGGGTGTAATAATTGGCAGAAGCCATGCAGTAGAGGGAGAGCATGAAGATGAAAATGGTCAGGGTACACAGGCTGGTTTAGGTGGCCTCGCGCTTCCTGTCAATGTGGTTAATCTTAATGTGTGCCTACAAGGAAGAGATCTGGGAATAGTGACTTGCCCCAAATGGTAGAGTTAAAAACATACCAGGGGATTCCAATTCAATCCCATCAAGGTGGCATGTACCAATGCCATCTCACTATTCCAAGTGATCAATTTCAGTTCACAATTGATCATAATGAAAGGACTAAGAGTCAAAGGGAGCACATAAACAAGTCTAGTACCTGCTAACACTAACCGATGGAATAAATAAAGGGGAGAGTGATCCAACATGGGAAGCGAGATACTCAGCAGACTCATAGAATGGCAGATGTCCTAAATAGCACTCTGGCCTCAGAATCAGCCCTAAAGGCATTCGGATCTGGCTGAAAAGCCCATGAGAGTATTTCAGGCATGGAAAGCCAAGACACTCTGGCAAAAGATCTCTGTGAGTGAGATCCCAGTGGAAAGAACAGGTCTTCAAAGAAGGAGGTACCTTTCTCTGAAGGGAGGAGAGAACCTCCACTTTGACTATGACCTTGTCTAAACAAGATAAGAATCGGAGAACTCAGAGGGCTTCCATAGCCTTGGAAACTCATGACCGGAGCATAGGGAGACTACTGATGCATAGACAGGAGTGTCAATTGGTAAAGTCAACAACGGGAGTCACTGTGCACTTACTCCTCATGTAGGATCTCTGTCCTTAATGTGCTGTGTATTGAGATTTAATGCTATAACGAGTACTCAAACAATATATTTCACTTTGTGTTTTTATGGGGGTGCAAACTGTTGAAATCTTTACCTAATGTATACTAAACTGATCCTCTGTAAAAAAAAAAAAAAAAGAAATTGTCAACTCCCAACTTGACTCTCACTGGGATTAAACATGACAATAGGTCTGATCTGATTTCATCATCATTTAAAAAAAATCATCTATTATTTTTCACTTTTTGTTTTTGTGTGAGCAAACTGTTGAAATCCTTACTTAATGTATACTAAGCTGATCTTCTGTATATTAAGATAATCGAAAATGAATCTTGATGTGAATGGAAGGGGAGAGGGAGTGGGAAAGGGGAGTGTAGTGGGTGGGAGGGACGGTATGTGGGGGAAGCCATTGTAATCCATAAATCGTACTTTGGAAATTTATATTCATTAAATAAAAGTTAAAAAAAATAAAAAAAAATAAAAAAAGTGGTAAACCATTGAAATGACTGTAATTCATGGCAAAGAAATTCAGTACGATTCCATTGGCTTCTTATTAATTTTTGGAAGGCATCTTGACTGTGACAAGAAGGGTGGAGGAGGGCCAGGGAGCAGAGGACTAAAGTTCCAAGGGGATTGATTGGAAAGCATTGGTGAGTCATTTAAAAGTTTTATCTGGGGAAGTTCTGCTTGTTTTACAAACCTCCCTCACTGCTACTGAGCACACTGCCTCCAACATCTTTGCTGGAAAAGTCTGATTTTAACATTAAGGAACTGATTCCCTAAAATTGGACCATTCCCCATCCAAATGGAATCTTGCCCTTGTACAGAAACATGTCCACAGGGATAAACCTGACCAGGAATGGGAGGGCCATGTGGGAAGAAGACATGACAAGGCCCCGGGTGAAGGAGTTGCCTTGAATGAATGGTAACAGAGAGGATGCACTGTGTTTTCCTGTTTGGGAGGTTTAATTCTTCACGGTTTGCTTGGCTGTCAGAACACTTCACATTTTTATTTGTGAACATACATGGTGATCATCCTTAAGACAAAAAAAAAATCTGATGGCAGGTCCCTTGGTGCCGTTGTTCAGAACAGATGTTGCAATCAGAGCTGGGCCTTCAATTCTCACCTCTGAGATGTTGTAAATTGCATAAAGAAGCATCTCTGCTCCCCCTTTCATGTTTCACATACCACTCATGGTGGTAACCGTGGAGAAAAAAGTTGAAATTGACAAACTTAACCAAGTTGTTGCTCACCAGGACAGAGCCGTTGTTTGTGTTGATCCAGTCACCCACAGCTCATGTAACAAGCAAAATACATAAATTTAACTCAACAGGGGAATCTAAAAGGGAGCCTCACACACTTGGATCATCAGCATGGAACAGCAATGTGGAAGCATGAGGTTCAGGAAAGCGTAAACATTCCTTTTCACATTGAGGAACAATACGAGAGTGACAGAAGCAGAAGCAGTGTGGAGTAGCCTGAACACTGTCTCTCCACTTAGAGAGCAAAAGGGGTTTTCTCTTAGATGGAAATGATGTTCCAGCTTGTCCCACTTCTCATCACAGCATCTCCTCTCCAGCATCCCTGACATGGGGCTATCTCACCTTTCCTTGAACTCTTCTGCAGACTGAAGTTTGTGCATTCCAACTTGTTGTTTGGGCTTTGTTGAACCTAGCCTAAGTCTGGATAGTACGGTGAAAATTGAATAAACAGCCACAGTGACTTCAGGAAGTTTTTTTTTATGCAAACATCTGTTTCTTGAATTTGGCTATGGCTAGACCTTGGAGAAGGGAGAATACCAACAGATTAAATAAGATCTAGAAGATACTGCCTCATTCTTCTTTTCTGTTTTAGGAATACAAAGTCTGTCTCCTTTCACCATTATAGTGGAAAGAAACCCTTTCCAAGTTTCCTCCAATGCTGGGTTTATGATGATGAAATCATGTGGATGCTTTTTCTGGTATTTTTCTGCACTACAAATGTAATCTGCTTTGAAAAAAGTTCCCTGCATGCATATCCAAATAAAAATTTAGAGTAAAGATGAGTAGAGCAATCAACAAATGGTCATCAAACACGTACGCTTGTCTAGCACTGGGCAATATGCTAACGTGTATTGAGAAGTGTAGGAGAGTGAGGCCTTGTATTTCATGAAATTTGGAATTTGTTAGGAAGATTGGTAAGCATTAAAGACTAATAAAAGACAAGTTATGGTTTGGGAATATAGGACCCAATCATAATAGCTGTAGTATTTGTAACAGGAGAAGATCGGGTTGACAGTTGAAGCTGGAGAAGACTTCCAATAGGAAGTGTGAATGATGCAGGATCTAAGGTGCTGAGAAGCTCTGAGCAGCCAGATCCCAGGCAGGAAACATTTATAGTGGGGCAAAGTGTACGAGCAACCAGCAAGAGTTATTTAGTCAATATATTATCTTCCTGCCAAGAGTTCATTGTGTGAGCACATTTTTTTTTATCCCCATTTATCAATGGGGAGATGGACCTGGTAACAGATGAGTAATGATAATAACAAGGATGACTGACATCTGTTTAGCACTCACTATATTCCAGGAGTTGTTCCAGGATTTTTATGTATATTAAATTATTTATGCCTCATAACAACCCTACTAGATAAGTACTAGTCTTAGGCGCCAGTTAAGCATGAAGCAGCTGAAACAGAGAAGTTAAGTAACTAGCCAAGGCACACACAGACAGGCCCCACTATATCCACAGCCCACACTTATGACACACTATCAATGTATGACAGGAGCAGAAGTGTGCTGAGCAAAATGGCACTGACCTTGTAGGAGGGATGAAATATCAAAGCGGATATCAAAGTGGGGGGGACATGTGTGTATGACAGGTGAAAAGGGCAGACAGTCATTATTCTCATTCTCAATTTTCTGATTTTGAGAGCCCATAGTGAGTCCAAAATGTAGGTCTGAACACCAAAATGCAAGCTATTTCAGGACATCACCATTCCAGAAAATACACCGTCTATCCGTTCAAGACCAAAGAAAACCCCTCCAAATGTTGATCCCAAGACTTCCAATCATCCCAGCCTCCCAATGGGTCCAGGACTGCTGGAGGAGAAAGATGCAAAGGTTGGAAGAGATCTCCTCAACATCTCCTAAAACCCTTCCTTAGGGGCTGTTGTTGTGGCACAATGGGTTAAGCCAACACTGGCATCCCATATGAGTGTCAGTTCGAGACTCAGCTGGTCCACTTCTGATCTAGCTCCCTGCTAATGTGCCTGGGAATGCAGCAGATGATGGTTCAAGTATTGGGGCCCCTGTCACCCATGTAGGAGACTCAAACAGAGTTCCTGCCCCTGGCTCCGGGCTTTAGCTTGGCCCAGCCTCATTGGATGTGACCATTTGGGGCATGAACCAGCGTATGAAATAGTCTATCTGCAATTCTATCTATATCTGTAATTCTGCCTTTTAAACAAATCTCTCTCTTTTTAAAAATTTCTTAGGTCTCTGTTTTTAGCTCCTATAGAAATGTGATTCTCAGTTTTTTTTTTTTATTTACTTACTTATTTATATTGTTTGAAAAGCACAGGGACTCACAGAGATAGAAACCAAGACAGACAGAGATCTGGTTCACTCCATTCCTGATTTATTCCCCAAATGCCCATAAGAGCAAGGGGTGGGGCTGACATTGTGGTGTAGCAGGTTAAGCTGCCATCTACAGAGCTGGCATTCCACATTGGTGCCAGTTCCTGTCCAGGCTGTTTCATTTCCAATCCAGCTCTGTGCTAATGGCTTAGGAAAGCAGCAGAAGATCGCCCAAGTGCTTGAACCCCTGTACCTACATGGGAGACCCAGATGAAACTCCTGGTTCCTAGCTTCAGTCTGGCCTAGCCCTGGCTATTGCAGCCATTTGGAGAGTGAACCAGAGGATGGAAGACTTCTCTCTCTGCCTCTCCCTCTCCCTCTCTGTAACTTCACCTTTCAAATAAATAAAATAAATATTTTTTTAATTAAAAAAGGCAGGGAGCTGAGCCAGGACAAAGCCAGCAGTCCAGAAGTCAATCTGGGTCTCTCATGAGGGTGACGGGGACCCAAGTACTTGTGCCATCATCTCCTGCCTCCCAGAGTTCACATTATCAGGAAACTTGAATCAGAAGTGGAGCTGGGACTTGAACCCAGGCACTCTGATAGGGGTTGTGGAGTCTCAAGCAGCATCTTAACCAAATGCCCACTCGATTACAGTGATTTGAAACATAGACTTTTAGTAGAAGAATCAATTTTTCTCAAACAAGTCCTTAGTGTCTCAATAAATAAGATAAAAGGTGAGCTAATGTGAGGAAATATGGTGCCATAAAAGCAAGAGTTCCACTCCTGGCTTAGCTTTTGCTTCAGCCTCCACTCGAGATCCCCAAGCAGCCCTAGATAATCAGGGATGCAAAGCCTACTATGAAAGCTTTCACAACCCTCCAACAGGATGACTGTAGCAGAATACCCAGCTAGCCAATGGCTTCAATAGGTAAGGTCTTATTTTTCTTACAAGAACAGGGGTCCTGAAGGTAATGAGCTTCTAGAATTGGTTCAATGGTTCAGAGATCTCAGTGTCAAGGTCTTTTTGATTTTCTTGCTTTTTGCTTCATGATCTACAAAAGGCTATTTCAACCCCACAATCCCATTTTTGCTCAGGGCAAGAAGATAGGGCAGTGCCAGCCATATCTGTCTCCTCAAGTCAAGAAAATAAAGGCTTCTTTTGAAAACTTCTGGATGACTTCTGCTCAGGTCTGACTGGCCTGAAGTGTGTCACATGGTTGCATGCAACCCTAAGCTGCAAAGCACTCTGGGAAAACAAATATTTAGTTAGCCATATTGCCACTGGAACGAATACTGGGGTTCTGTTCTCAAGGAGGAATGTAGGTGTGGGTATGGAAGAGCTCACTCACAGTGTACACCATGGCCTACTTAATCTCTCTATGTTGTGCATGAAGGGACACATCACATTTTAAGGTTCCATGATAGAAAGTGCACATCAAATTAATTTACACTGAGAAACTAATGGCTTCCCTTTTGGTGGGTTCCTCAGGTTGGCGTAAAAATGGTGCTGAAAAGAGAAAGAGGTGTCAAGGAAACAACAGAAAAGCATCAAAGATGCATTACTGGTAACTCATGGGAATCTCCATGCAATTTTGGTCAGGTGCACACATCTAGTTAGGGTACCGCGTTCTCTGGAACAATGGCTCTTTATGCAGCGTGTTAAAGTATTTTGTCTCGAGTGTAAGCAGTATAGCTTGTTCAACCAAATACATTCTCCTGAGTATCCAGAGAATGGATTTGCTAAAGTACAACTGAACTTAATAGGTACATGACAAAAAAGAGGGAGAAGTTAACTCAGTAAAATGAGTTCCAAAGCACATACACACACACCCTCAACTGCAAAGATAAAAACCAATCAAGGGTGCCTGCTCTATTTATGGATTTCTGCTACAAAATGGATTTTGCTTCCGTGTCTTCCCCCTGCCTCTCTTACAGGTAGTCAGGGGACAGTTCATCTTGTCTGTCTTTGGTACAGTTATGGAACTTTTAAGGGGAGACCAGGAGTCTGTGTGGGGACTTGTCCTAAAAGACAGAACAAAAAGAAGTTATTAATCACGTTCCCCTTTGCATATTTACTGTTTGCCTTCTGAAGAGAATATTAGTCTGCTAAGAGATGCATAATTAGGAGCCACGCCAGATGGATGATCAATGTGGTTTTAATTTTTTATAAGGAGAGAATAGAGGTATAGCTTGGAGTTTTTATTTTAAGAAGATACTTCAGTTCTGTGTAGTTAAACACAAATATCTTGCATTAGAGGGTTAGTGTCTTCCATGCAATGATGTCAAATATGTTCTTGAAGCAGCCCTTCTATTTTTAAACCACAACCCCAGTGGAACAGAAAAGCTGACGGGGCCTACCAGCTGGAAGGGGAAAGCTAACGAGAAGCAGAGCTGGAGTGTGCACTGCCTGCGCTGCATTGAATCATGTCATCGTCATTACAAACCAACCACAGGCACCACCGCTTCCCTGCCCCTGGTTGCCCATCGGTTGAGAGGCAATTGTTCTCTCCACACTCAGGCTGGACAGGAATATAAAGGAGAGCTTTCTGAAGTCTTAGTGAAGCAAAGTGCGTGAAATCTTCATCCAGCGTTGGCTGATTGGGATTGGTGGCTGAGATCACCTTAGAGGCCCAGGAAGCAAGACAGAGGCCTGGGGGCAGTGCTCTTGGACCCCTTGGTCCTGACACTTTAGAGAACTATGAAATCAACCCAGACGGCTCTGACCACATATAATGTCTAGGCCTAATAGAGCGGCATTCTGAAACAGAATTTTAAAAAATACAAGAGTGAGTCACAGTCAGTAAGGATAAGTATTATTTATGCAGTTTTTGTTTCAGTAACATCCATGTCCCCATGTAAGTTGTATTTCTTTACCTAGATCACAGTCAAAAAAGTCTAAAACACTGTTGGAGGGTTGAGTGTGACAGGGAAGCAATGTGGGGGAAGGGAGAGGGGGTGGAGAGCGACAGTGAGGCAGGAGGAAGTGGAGGAGGAGGAGGAGGGTGGGAGGGGGGAGGAGAGGGAGACCCAGAGTCCATGGGCTCCACCTGCCTCTGTTCATTCGTCATGGCTCCTAACGCTGTGGGTGTGCGTATCTTCATTATATTCACACAGATACTCTTCCTCATGCCATTTAAAACCCTGTGCCAAGTCCCTCATTCAAATGCACCATTCAGAATTTGATTGGGGCTGCATTCCACTCATAAGATAATTTGGGAGAGAGAGTGAACATCTTTACATCATGGAAGCTGCCAACCCAGTATGTAGGGACTGTTGGTATCCTCTCTGGTCTTTCCCTCCGTCTCCTAGTCCTGCTTTCACTATTTTAATAAAAACTTTTCCTTTTTTTCTTTCTTGTTAAGATGACTCCCATCCGCGTGGTTGTCTTGTTTGGGTTCCGTTGTATCTGGTTTTCTTTAGTCCTGTTCTGACACCTTTTCTCCAGGTGTAAGGACCTCTGAAGCTGACTGACCACAAGGTCTGCTCTGCTGTGCCTCTCACAAAAATCCTTTCTTTGCATTTTTTTTTAAAAACAGAATTACCTATTTAAGGAGAGAGACAAACAGATACAGAGACACAGAGAGATCTTGGTTCACTCACCAAATAGCCACAACAACTGGGACTGGGCCAGGCCAGAGCCAGGAGGCAGGAATTCCATCAGGGTCTCCCATGTGGGTACAGGGACCCAAGTACTTGGGCCATCTTACATTGCTTTCCCAGGCACATTAGCATGGAGCTGGATCAAAAGCAAAGCAGACAGGTCTCAAAGTGGTACTCATATGGGATGAGTACTACTGGGGTTGCAGGCAGCAGCTTAGGCCACTGTAACACAATGCAGGGCCCTACTTGTGTTTCTTGAGAGATGTTTGTGCAGCTTTACTACTGCCAGGCTGTCCTCCCAGGCAAAGCTATCTCTCAGGGGGCCTCCACACTCACCTCCTACTGGATCTCTGTTTTTCCTCTTGCCCATCTACCATTCTCCACTCAGCCACTGGGTGACTGTTAAGGATACGAAGTAGGTGATGTTATCTTCCTTCCTCCCTAAGATGTCTAATGGCTCCCAACATGTTTCAGTACTGCCAGGGCTCCCACGATGTGGCTCCTCCCTTTTCTCCAGCTTCATTTCTGGAAGTTTCCTCACCTTGCAGGACCCGTCAGCCACATTAGCTTTCACTAGCCACTCAATATTCCAAGCGGCCCTGCCTTGGACATGTTGGCTGCTGCCTTCTCAGCAGGATGCCCCTGTCCCAGGTGTGTACGTGACCAGCTCCTTCTGGTCATAATGGACACCACTAACACTGCTAATTTTGATTTCGAGAGGACTTTTCTGAACTCCCATGGAAGCAACATTCTCTATACATCCAGTCACCTCCCATACCTTTTTAAAAACAGACCTTATGGTACTTGATATTCTCTTATTTGCTTCTCTGTTCTCTATCTCCCATTCCCATTGCCCCTGCACACATAACAATATACATGAGAGTACAGACTCTGTCTCCATGCCTACTATTTCCCCAGCCCCACATAAGCACTAAGTCAGTGATGAATTCATAGATTGCATCAGTGAACTGGGTCCTTTACTAAATCAGGGAACAGAAAGCTCTCAGTCCTTCTTTTTGATGCTATGAAAATTACCTTCTCAGTTCTAGGAAATTGTTTTGATGTGTGTGTGTGTGTGTGTGTGGTGTGTATGTGTGTGTGTAAGCAGGGCGATATATGAAAGGGAATCCTTTATAAATTAACTATGAAGTACATATTTTAACCATTAAGGATGCGTTTTAATCACTAAGAATATGTTTATTGTTGGAAATTTATTTTAATTTGACTTTGCAATGTGTTTCCAAGACTTTGTTATGGGTAAAGCAGCCACTCTGGAGAGCTGTCCAGGTGAATAAACCAATCTTCATCCTTGAAGGAGAATGCTTTCAGCAAGATAAAGAGACTTGTAAAAACCTCATAAGGCAATGGACTTGAACAGTGACAGCAAGGATGCTCCTGTTACGGAACACTGAGTTAGGGCTCAACCTGTCCCAGCACGGCAATGAGCATTCTTTGTTTTGCCACAATAAATCATTAGGGGCCAATCACACTTGAATTTATTTAAAGTCATCTTGAAAATTAACATGAAATTAACATTATATGAAAATAACATGTTCCAACTAAAAGAGGAATTGGTAATTTGATCCAAACTTCAGAAGTTAACCCAGAGAATGAATGAACCTTCTTGTATGTTCTAAAAATGAAAATAATGTGACTGAGATGAGCAGCTTCCCACCCACCTCATGGTGGATACCTCTGGGAGCCATCACCCTGTGTCTCAGTCTGCTGCATACCTGCGGCCTCTTGCCACCTGCCCAAGAACTCCTTTGGCTCCAGATGTGGGTGTCTCTTGCAGGGTCCCAGGATGCAGTAGGGCCAGGTATGCCTCCCCTTTGGATTGTAAATTCTTTGTCCAGCTTCCATGTAAATTAATTTTACAATAATAAGAGTCTCCTCTGAACTAGAGAGATGCTGTGGCAAATGCAGAACTGAAGACACACATGGGAAACTCCTAGAAACATCATGGAGGGACCATTATCTTAGAACCTGATCTGTGGTTGGAGTCTTTGAGTAGCCAAGCGAATGTTGTCTAACAAATGAGTGATCCTGGACCTGAGCAGGAGTAATCTGACATGCTTGGTATTTTCCTAGGAAGGAGAATGCAGGTTCTACACTTGGTTACTGGAGAATGTGTAACAACCTGGTGGAGCTCTAGATATCCAAGGAGTATGGCTTTCTGACCTTGGCACACTGCATCACTTGAAATTCATTTCAAGTTCATTGCCATGGAGGGGGAGAGGTGATGATGAGTCAGCTTTTTTGGCTACTCTTTCCCATTTTGGGGTGACAGTGTTGGTTAGCCTCCCCTATTTTTCCTCAGTCCTCCCTGAAGCTTATCTCCAGAAGACAGGAGGACTGCTCCCCACACAGTTCTGGTGCTGCTTCTTACCTGTCCCTGGTACCTCCCTGGCTCTAAAACTTCTCATCACCAGACTGTCATGGGTACCAAGTTAAGAGTTCACAAAAAGAGGTGGTCTAGACCTTGTCTACTCTTTTGGAAACCTAACTTGGAAAATGTTACTAGGAAAAAATCACTCTATGCAAATCACGTTAAAGAAATGAATATTATCCTTTGTCTAAATATTGCTTAAATCACTCTAATGAAATGAATTTCTATGTCAATATTTAACCCACAGCCCACATCTTTATTTAGCCTCTCCCTTTAGTAATCAGAATGCAGAGCCAGCCATTATGATGTGCTGGTGATAATCTGGAACAGGAGGCGAGGAGTATTAAGGATGGAGATTTGCTGGACAAAGAGAAATAGACTCTACCACTCATGTGGGTCTGGAGAGAATACAGTGAGAGGCATCAGGGAGTGGCTCAGTCCTACCAGTCCAGCTGCCCCCTTTTGTTCAATAGGAATCTGTTCAAGGATGGCTATAATATACATGGCTGAATCTGGGGGTAGGGAGGAAGGGTATAGACCAGGCAAAGACAAGGGTAAGCATGAGGTGGGGCCTTCTGGCTCTGGTCAGGAGATTAGGTTCAGGATGTGGCATCTGTTCCTTCAGCAAGAGTTCTCAGCAGAGCAAGTAACAGAATTAAAGTTCTTCCTCCTAAGGCTAAAGCTCTTAGGTAGGTGGGCATTTCATGCAGTGCTTAAGTTCAAGTTCCAGCTCTGCTTCCAATTTTGGATTCCTACTAATATTCACCCTGGAAAGCAGCAGGTGATGGTGCAAGTAATTGGGGCCCTGCCACCCCTGTGAAGACCTGGCCCAGCCCTAGCCATTATGGACACTTGGGAAATGAACCAGTGGATAGAAGTATGCTTGCTCTTTCTCCCTCCCTCCCTATGTATGTGTCTGCCTTTCATATAAATATAAATAAATAAAAAATTTTAGAGTGCTAAGGCAAACACCCAATACCAACATGAAGCCAACATAGCAGGTTCACTACAATTTCAGGGCTAAAGAAGCATCAGAATATAGCTCAGCAGACTTGAGGCTCAGATAATTTTTACTAAGAAGGAGACGTGAAGGTTAGAACAGAGACCAAATAGAAAGGTCTAGATCACAGGTCTTAGAGCCTAAGAGAGTAGGTCATATTTAAAATCACCATATAGAGATTATTGCTTTCTGCCCATCTTCATACCTGAGCCAAGGTACATTATGAAGAACAGAAGTTTGCTTAGCTCACAGTTCTGGAAATTGCAGAGCATGGTACTAGCATCTGGTGGGCTCTTGGGAGGGTCACAGAGCAGATGACATGACAAGGGCCGGAGTGCATGTGGAAAAGATCACATGATGAGGCGGGAATCAAGAGACCATGGAGAGGCCAGGCTCACACCCACTCTTGCAGGAACTCATCCTCTCCCGTGATATCTGACCGACTCTTGGGTACCAGATTAATGCCTTCATGAGGGCAGTTATGGTCCAATCACCTCTCTAGGCCAGATCTCATAAAGGTTCACTATGCTTTCATACATTCCACTGGGGCCAAGTTTCCAGCATATGAAGCTTTGGGGGAAAATCACAGCACAGTCACTCAGGAAAAGGCAGGGTGGGATCTGCTTCTAGAAACCATGAATACAGTCCATCGTGATGACCTGGGGATGAGAGGCGAGGAGGCAGCCAAGTACAGGCTGACATCCAGGCACACCACAACTCAGTTTTGAGCCATACTTTGCCAATTTTTTATTTAGCATCTATTGCATTTCACATATCAAATGAGTTCTTTAATTTCGTTGATTCTCATAGCAACTTAATGAGGCTAATTTATCATTTCACTCTTAGAAATGAGAAGGCAAAGGGCATAATAATTTATGTGAGATAAATTATTAATAGAATAATTATTATTAGAATAACAAGCACTATTATACAAACA